CATACCATGATTGGAATCTCAATTTGACCAGAAAGAATAATCTCCTTCATAAAGCGGAGAACAAAATATCCGCAGTCAATGCCATTGCGCTGACGAGGACACTGTAAATGGAAAAAACAAACGAATATTTATCAGGATATATAGTTTAAATAGTTTGATCAAGTAGAACCACTATAACAGTCAAACATGGGAAAATTTACCTCCACTCTGATCCAACTGATGTTGTTAGCCTTGCTTTTTCGCACTGTTGCATCTCTTTGCGCTCTGAATATTTGTATAACTCTAACATAATATAAACGCATATTTAGAACAATGTCACATAATAAATAAAGATATATAATTATTCAGAATAATATATCTCATCACTTATGTATCAACCATGTTCTTCAGATTTTCATATTTATTTGTATCGCCATCCAATGAATCTATATAATAGACTATTTCTTTCATCGGATTATTCGCGACCAACAATCAGTGTCCACTATAAAATAAGACAATAGTTTAGACGGAAAGATTATATAGAATGGCAAAAATCAAACAATTATAATAAATGAATTTAGAATAAAATCTAACCCATGTCCAGTATTGTATGGCAACAAGAACAACTTCTCCGTAGTCGCACCCATAAATCTCTGGACTGTGTACTCTTTGACGTATCTGGTGACTGGTCTATTGTCCGGCAGTTGATACATCTAGCAGATAAGAATGCGAATATTGAAGTCAAGGCATTCGGGACCAACAACTTGTCATACAAGAACCTAAAAAAAACATAATCAACATTAGAATATTCAGATAATCAACTTATTCAATTATTTAAATAAAATGCATCGGAGTACCTGATGTAGGAATGCATAACACCGACGCCCAATTCAGAATGTGTGAAAACCTGGTCAAAATCCTCCTTAGCAAGTGTTTCGAGATAGTCAAAACCGAAAATACCTTGCTCCATAGGTATTAGACGGACGCCACCCTCATGCACATCTGTTGTTCCTACTAGTGTTTCAAGGCACATCCTAAATCGAGGAACAAATGCTTTTTTTGGCTCGACCTTTTTTTTGCTGGGCGCCTTGGAAGTTTCAGGCATCTTACCCTTACTGACTTGTTGCGACTGCTGATCATGAACCTAAAAGTCACATATAAGTTCAGTAATTAATGTATATTAAGATAATCATGTAACTGTAGTAGTACCTGTTTCTTTGATGCAGCTGAATCGGTATCCCACACAATAATTCTATCATCTTTTGATTTGGATTTTGAGGGAGTCTAAGATCATCATGTAAAGAAGAAAATGTAAATGTAAGAATAACTTTCATGTATGATCATAAAACATTTGAATATTACAAGGTTCAACCTACCTCATCATCTAGGAAAATGAGATTTGCCGGCCAAGCAACATACGCTCATATTGCGTCTTCCACCACTGTTGCGTCTGAAACATCATCCGGTATAGGCAACAACGCTCCCCCCTCTAACGCAATATCAACTGATACTTTCAATCCGGCAGGGAGCGGTTTATGGTGAAGTAAGTCTCCCAGAGTGTTATGCACATTTCCCTTGGCAACCATGCGATAAATCGGTGACGATAAATATAGCCGACAAGGTGAAATGCCCTAAACAAATAATGATCAGTTAATTTGTCAATTAAGAAAACTGTGCTAAATTAATTTTAATGTAATATATACAATTACATACCTCTGGAAGCTTCTGCGGACAACCGATGCTATCTTTGTCACTAGTAGCCTTACCCTCTGCAGCGCGCCTTTCCGCCATGTATCTCTCCTTGTCCTGTTGCAATTCACGAATCTGAGCTTTCATTTCCTCCAAAGTAGCCATCACTTCTTTATTGGTTGGATTTTTTTTTCCTTGGCTGCTTATACAATTTGGATGGAGTGACACCAAATCCCTTACCCCTCACACGCCCAGAATACTCAGGAAAATTCAACACCCGACTCAATAAGCTCCTGCAATCATTGTCTTCAGCTGGAGTTATAGTCTGAGATAGGGTTTCCTGAAATAAAAATAAAAGCATATATAAATATATTATACACTTTTGATCATTTACTGGCAAAGCTAATGTTGTACTTACACATTGTTCAAACACTTGTTGAACTTCTTCCTGGACGCCTCCATCTCTTCCCACACGAGCAGCCTTCCATACAACATGGTCCAGAAGAGATGTCGCATCACTTTTCTCCTCTTCCAACTACGCATTAAGACGAATAATAAAGCATTATATCCTATTATATATACTTACTATTTTTTGTAAATATATCATATTAAAGCATTTATATGTACTTACTAATTTTTGTTCTAAGCGTGCATATCCCAAACGTCCCTTTCTGTATGGATACGCAGGCTTTGATGCCCGTTGCCGATTTACGTCACTCTTAACCTGAAAAAACAAGTTTAATTCATATTAGAACTCTTGTGAGGTATATATGCTATACATTGTTCATGATAAGTTGTACTTACTTCAAATTCTTTGGTTCTTCGCTTCGCAACAAATATCTCCCATTCTGCATCCGAAATCAAATCAGCGTACTTTGTTGGACGCTCCGAGTCTACAAAGTTTCCCTCAGAATCTTTAAAAAACTTGTTGGTTAAAAACGCTCTAAATCCCCTCAAGCGTTTTTCGGCCAACTGAATACAATATTTTCTCCTACAATCCTCAATATTAAAAGATCTCTGCAAACAAATACACATACATATAACATGTTAGTATAATTAATTTAAAGATGTAACTGTCAACATAATTAAAAATGATCAAATATCATACTTGAATCTCGCTCCAAATTTTATCTTTGGCCGCTTGTAATGCAGGAATTCTCCAGTTATCGCAAGTAATCGGAACTTGCGAACGTACAAGTGCTCCAATATAACTTGTCAGCAGCGCACCGTTAGGCTCAACCAACTGATCTCTTTCATTCCAATGGACATTGTACTTTACACCTCTATCTCTCGCACGGATTATTTTTTTCATTATCGTTATGCCTCTTTTAATTTCGCTTTCCACGTCTTTGGTTGTTTGTTTTTTATCACGTGGTGTTTCCTCGTTGCTGGCCATAATATACCTGTAATTCAGAATAACAACAACAACAACAAACCATCTATATCAACAACAACAAACCATCTATATCAACAACAACAACAACAAACCATCTATATCATATTTATATCAACAACAACAACAAATATCATATTAAACAACAACAACAATCTATATCATATCTATATCTCATATTTATATCAACAACAACAACATATATCAAATTACACAACAACAAGAACAATCTCTACCAAATATACACTATATCTCATATTTTACAACAACAACAACAACAACAAATATCATATTACACAACAACAACAACAATCTATATCAAATATACACTATATCTCATATTTTACAACAATAACAACAACAAATATCATATTAAACAACAACAACAATCTATATCAAATATAAACTATATCTCATATTTATATCAACAACAACAACAAATATCATATTAAACAACAACAACAACAACAATCTATATCAAATATAAACTATATCTCATATTTTACATCAACAACAACAACAAATATCATATTACACAACAACAACAACAATCTATATCAAATATACACTATATCTCATATTTTACAACAACAACAACAAATATCATATATCAAATATTAAACTATATCAAATATCAAATATCAAGTATATATAACACTAAAAACATCAAATATCATATATCAAATATTAGATTTTCTTGCATGTCAAATATCTTCAAATATCATCTATATCAAACTATCTATATCATCAGAACAAAAAAACCATCTATATATATCTTCAAATACCAACAATGGTGAAAACATAAAAAAACAAGAAAAACAGAGTAAAACTTCACATACCGTAACAATGGTGGAAATGCAATGCAGACGGATGGATGAACTCAAAAACGGACGGTGAACGGTCGGAATAAGATGATGATCGGTCGGAACAGGTGATGATCGGACGGAACGATAGGTTAACAGTGTTCGTTCGTGTTCGTATTCGCCAGAGAAAGAAGAAATGAAACTAGTTCGTGACTGTTCTGTTTCTATTAAAATTTTGGAGGGTATTTTAAAATTATAATATATACCTATAGCAGCGCTTTTTAAAGGCCTTTAGCAACGCTTTAAAAGCGCTTTCATAGGGTGACTTAACAATGTCATATAGCAGCGCTTTATAAAAAAAGCGCTTTTTAAGGGTCCCCCTTAAGCAGCGCTTTTTAAAAGCGCTTTCTTAGGGTCCGCCTTTAGCAGCGCTTTTTAAAAGCGCTTTCTTAGGGTCCCCTTTTAGCAGCGTTTTTTTTAAAAGCGTTGTCTTTGTTAGGCGCTTTTTTTTTTTTTTTTTAACTGACCCTTTAGCAGCGCTTTTGTAAAACGCGCTGTCTTTTTATGCGCTGCTAAAAGTGATTTCTGGCGTAGTGAATGTGAGAAGTTATGTATCACTAAACCCCTTACATAACCTACTAAATAAAATACTATCCATTCAAATCATTAGATAAAGATATCCTATAATAATAGACATCATAGAATAATTGACCTTTATACTGCAACTGTTATTGTAGATTTAATTGTGAAGAGATGGTACCTCACGTATGAACTGTATGATTAAGTTATGTAGTTTAAAAGAAAACTATATCAAATTTATCTTTCACATTTTGTCTTAGGGGACAATAGATGTGCTATGCTCTTGCTAGGAATGATGTGTTATTATATATTCCTGCTTTGAAAATTTCAAGGATACCAAGTCCTTGTTTTGTAATTGCAACCAAAATTACTAAATTCTTAAATGCAATAAACTGAAAACAGAAAGATAGATGATGTTTGAGTACTTGAATTCATTATCATTAAACTCTAAATTATCAGTATAATGATCATTTATATCAATGTTTACAATTTACTAAGATGCCTAGCTTACAAAAACTATCTCTACTAAGCTATGTCAGTCTCTTTTCGTGTTAGTTTCATGGCCCATTCAAGACACAAGTTATATTTTGAAATACATCTTCTGTGCATGGAATGGTGAGCCCACCCATCGGATGATCGTATCCAAACTCTTCCTCGGCTTGACTCAACAACTCTTGAAACGAAGGTTGAGTCAAGTATGATAATGGAATCACATACCGTGTCTGTTTCTCTCCAACATACACAGCAACACATCCTTTTGGCATGACCAGCGCTTTTGAAGATGATAATCTTCTAATCATACTAGGAAAACGAAAACCCATTGACATTGTTGTTTGGGTTGAAACTTGAAAAGAAGTTGTTTTAAAAAAGACTTGTAAGCAAGGGAAAGTTTTTGTTATTGTAATGCTTAAGAATGTGAATGATTTGTGTTGGTTGTAAATGCTTGTAGCAATGAATATATATAGATAAATGAATATTAAGAAACTATTGGCTACATGAATGACTGGTGAAGACTATAGTACAAGATTAGGAGGATGAGATGAAAGAGTATACAAGGAGACAAGAGCATAGATAAGATCACATGGTATTGTCTTAGACGTCTTTCCAAATCATCAAACAATATAATAGACAATACACCAACATATCACACCACCACAAAGTTTAATTGACCTTCAAACTTATTTATCAAGGCAGGGACCTCAATATGCTGTTCTGGTATGCAAATTTCATGGAGTTTGTATGGTCTTGCAAAAATATAAAATGTGGTTCATAATGGTTTGTGATCTTGTGTTCATTATTGGTTTTCTTCTTGCCTCCAAACACTGTTTCTAAGATGTTATCAATCAGGTCCTACACAGGTTGCACATAAATTTGATATATATTTAGCTGGTAGATGTATACTAGTTGCATTGTCAATTTGATGAATCATGTGATATGTCTAAAGCATGTCTAGCATTGAAATAGCTATGACAAAATGCAACAACAGACATCAGGTTTCTTTTACCATTTCATTGTCTTAAATTTCCTAATCCCTGAAAATGACCTCTGTTAGACAAATACCATGTGATCCCTTCTCCTTCACTAGGCCCTATTACAATTATATATACACTACTCCATGGTTTCACAAGCAACACAAGTCTCTTGCATCCTAAGCCATCACAACTTAATATCTAGTTCTCATCCAATCCTTTAACATAAAAGAAACATGGGTTTCCGCCGTCTTATCAGGAGAACATCATTTTCCAGTACCAAAGGATCTACCAAGGGATTTGACGTTCCTAAAGGCTATCTCGCCGTCTATGTTGGAGATAAAATGAGTCGGTTCGTAATTCCAATTTCATACTTGAACCATTCATTATTTCAAGAGTTATTAAATGAAGCAGAAGAAGAGTTTGGATATGATCATCCAATGGGTGGCCTCACAATTCCATGCAGTGAAGATGAATTCCTAAACCTCACTTATTGCTTGAGCGAATTGTAAAACATGATGATGAAGATTGATATAGACTAGTTGAGGCTAATCTGTAAAGAAGATATGATTTTTTTTTGTATCATGAAGATTTTTCTTTTTTTTTTCTTCGATGTATCATTCCTACGGAGATATTGTTTCCGGAATGAGAATGTTATGATCAAGACATTGCTGAAACACAGATTTTTTTTCCGAATCTCAATGAAACAGTTTTAACCACTTGTTGCTAGATTCTTATATAAATATCTATGCCGATTTGGAAGGAACCTGTCACATGCATAGATTTCTGCAGCAGAGCCTCAGTGCAACATCCTTCAACTAAATGGAGAAAGAGTGGAAGACTAGTAAAAAATCAAACCAAGAACAAACTATTATAATTTTAAAAACCTGCATTACGAAAACCTTCAACATAGGGCTTCTTCCGCATACATAAAGAACTGCAAAATTTAAACAATCTCACGGCTAAGTCATTTCAATTATCTCATTTCCAACCTATGTGTAATCTTTTACAATATAAACATTGTACTTAATAGTTAATAGACAGGATTATACAAGATAGTTCTTGCACTATTACTATGTGAATAATAGGCTAAAGCTTAAATCTACACTAAGACAGCATGAAACTTTAACGTGAAAATGGTGCGCAATCAACACATTAAACATTGAACACCATAAGTGAAGAATATTATTTCATTTTTACGGAAATCAGGGAATCATTATATAAAGGGAAGAAAAAAATTTCAGTCATTTTTGTTAATACTACAAGTGGACCTTGATCGAAACAAGTTTCCCCAAAATTAAATGAATCACGGTCAAATCAAATTAACAACATCACGGAGAAATGATAAGGGCTCAAGAATATAAGGTTTTCTCATCAGTAAAAATCTTTCACCTATATCTTTAGTAACTTCCTCAATCAAGAAGCGAGTTTTTATGTGAAGTTTTTTTTCTTCCTGTTTTTGAGGAACTAGCACCAGAAGTTCTTACATCTCTCACAAAACCAATACCTTTCTAAATGGTAGTACGATTGTTCTTTAAACACGTATTTAAAAATATCTTTTGTGTCAAGATTAGAAGTAGTTAATCTTATTAGTATGTATTTTTTTTTTATCTTTTGTATATGGACAAAGTTGATTATCAATATATGATGAAAATCTTTGCTCTCCATGATATATGTAGGATTTGAATTACTCTAGAGATAGATTTTTCAAACCTTGATCTAAGTTCTTCATCAATTAACAAACAAACTCTAGACATAGATTTGAGAGTTAATATTTACTTTGTATCAATTTTCATATGTATTGTTTCAATTGATGTCTTGAGAGATCATCTAGTGATTGAAACAATAATACCCATGAAGTCGCTTTAGAAATAAACGGGTTTGAGAGGATACGCAGTTGTATTGATCTAAACCAAGTTCATATGCTTGATTAATCGGTTATGTATCAAATGAGTTAACATGCTTGATTCATCGGTTATGTATAAAATGAGTTAACGAAATATAATCTTGACATGTTTTTTTTAAAACAAACATCTTTCTATAATTTACTTTTTACTACCAAAACAAGTGAAAACGTATTGAACGACAAGAAATCCATATCAAAACAATCCCTGCGGATACGATAAAACAACCCACCTGAAGACTTTACAACAAAGTCATAACCCATAATTGACATAGCTTTTCCATTAAGAAAGTAGGAAAGTGATGACTCCCATCCTCATCAAAGATAACATCATAATAATGAATGTTACCCTAAACTCGGACAAATATGTCTTTCCACCAAGGACATAAGTGAAACCCAATTTCCCTAATTAATGCCTTCAGTCATATAGAAAAAAGAATATGATCGCAACTGGCGTAATTTTAAGAGCCTCGCAAAGGATAAAAACCAATTATTTGGATGTAATTGGGAAGGGGAAAACGTTGATAGCCTGCAAGACCTTGGTCTCAAACATGGTAAAAATAATACCTATTCCAAAGTTGTTTATAACGCTTGTATGAAAATTAAAATAAACTTATTATCCATTCCTTAGATGCATCATGAAGGCCTTCCCTCCTTCCATGCAAAGCTCAAATAGGACACCATCTTCTTCTCTATAATTTTATATGTATTAGCCATAATGATAGAATAGTACCACCGCATCATTATTATACAAAGAGTAGATATTTACCAACTCCTTACCAAAGGTGAACATCTCCATAACTCCTAGGCAGAGGTAGTTAGCATGATGTGTTATCTTATGAATAGGTCATTACAAGCTTCATTAGAGGAGGGGGAGGCTGAATGGGAGGTATGGACATGTAATTCTGTTGATCTTGAAAATTTATAGATTTTTAGGTGTTTATATTATGTACATATTTATCAAAGATCGATCCAAACTTTACCCAAAGTCAAAGAAGTGTATCTTTATTGATTATGTAAAAGGTGTGAAAGGGTTCAAGTTATGTGATCTAATTAAAAGGAAGAAGGTAATCAACATAGATTTTATTTTTTATGAATATTAAATGTTGACACAGATAGTTGTAACAGATGTATCAGCATTTGAAGGAGAAAATTCCTGAAAATAGGTGATTCAAGTGGATGTGAATCTACAATCCGTAAACAATATGCATGTAGTGTGTGAACAATAGGAGGAATCAGGCTCTGATACTGAAATTGACCTTGGACCTGAAGTTTCAAGTGGAGTACAAGATCATATTCGTGTATGTGACAGAGAGCACAATTCAATCAAACTACCATAATGATATGGGTATGAAGACTTGACAGTTTATACACTTCTTTCTAGTTTTTAAGACCCTTCTACTTGTTGGCAGCTTATGTATTTCTTACTAGTTATGGATACCCTTCTAATTTTTGAAAAGCTATAGTTAGCCAGGAAAAAGATAAGTGAATGGGTGCAATGGTGCAATATATGGATTCCTTGAAGAAAAGTCATACATGGAAGCTTGTTTACCTTTCTAAGGGAAAAGGGGACATAAGTTGTAAGTGGTGTTCAAGAGAAAACCAACAGCAACAAAAAAAAATAAATGGGAAAAGTTTAAGGATCTTCTTGTAGAAATGGGGTGAAAATGAGAAGGAAAAAAAACACGAGAAGGGGGAATTGAATTATGTTAGCTTTCTTTTTATTTTCTAAAAATCTCTTATCAAATTCTGAACACAAGGGCTAGAATTTGAATCTGAATAAAGTGTTTGATAGCATAATAAAGCAGTTCAGAGAAATAAATAAAAGCAAGAGAGACACAAGCAGTTATCATGGTCCCTCTCACAAATCGAGAGTATTCCAGTCCCATTACACCTCCAAGGGATTTTTTACTATAACCAAAACTGATTACAAATGTTCAAGCACAATGCAAGAGACTTTTTATGCTCAAACACACAAGTAAGATACTTCTATGCCCAAGCACACAAGCAAGAGACTTCCAATTCTCAAACACACATGTAAGAAACTTCTAATGCTCAAGAACACATGCAAGAGACTTCAAATGCTCAAGCACTTAGCAAGGGACTTCTTAAACTCTAACTTACAATTAAGAGATTGTGAAAAACTACACTTGACATACAATCAAAGTTGTAGACAAAATAAATCATAAAAAGACTCTTAGAGACTTAAGAAAATTTATAATATACAAGTGTTAATAAATTCTAAGTTTAACTTTTTCTTTTTTTATTTGACAGAGTAACAACTCTTTGAATTTCAATAGTTCGTTTTTTTTTCAAGTCTTCAACTCCTTATATAGAGATAAAGAAAAGAGTCGTTGAAGAGTTTGAGCAAGAGAGTCTTTGAAAACCTTGATTTAGAGCCATTGAGATGTTTGTTGAAAATATTATTATCGTTGAAAGCTTATTTGTA